ACAGCACACATGATTGATGATTCAGTACATGTGAGAAAATCCCCAACTTTTTAACATAAAAGTAATCTACAAATTTTCACATTTTCAAATTCCAAATGTGCAAAGAACTCACCAATGCTAATATAGTACTTCACCGTCTACTCTCTTTTTGAGGACTACTATTAGATGAAATTATTCTGATCTCATTGGCAAATGTTGTTCAAAAAGTACCTCTTAACCCCAAGTGTATAGGTAGAAAGATATTTTGAATGCAAGGACAAGGAAGAGGATAACTATAGCATAGTCTCAAATATTGTGACTTAGTGACTATCATGATGCTTGGCTCCACCACTTCTTATTTATAATTTTCTTATACAACTTTATATGTAATCTATAAATTTTACACCAAGATTCACTAAATAATCTAATCTGGAAAAACATGAAATGATCTTATAATATTTCTTATACACAACTAATTTTCCAGATTAGAACAGTCCCATCTTCCATGTTGTAAGAGTATAGGCTATTATCAGCATATAATTGGAAATAGCTACAATTGCCTTCGAATCGTCCTTTGAGTGCAAGTGGTTTGATCCCAAGTCCTAAGGTACTCGGGTTTGTTGGTCGGGTTTCAAGCTCACCAATGCTTTAAAAAATTCTTTTTTTCAATCTTTCAACTTGTAAATTATTCAAAATATATATATATATATATATTGCCTTCGATACCCGGTAATGCTGCGGGCCAAGAAAACTTCATAGTAGCAGTTAAGAAGAATGCTCTATCCTTGAAACTCTGTACGCTCTCCCATTCCTTACGATAAATCCAATTTGTGAACATGGACGGTAAACACTTCCTCCCATACGTACTCTCCATTAATCTCAATATGCAGCAAATAAATATTAAATATTTCCCCACAGGATTCTACAAAGTATTCCCTTAGATGTTGCCAAGGAGTTATGAGACAATGTCAAGTGTAAGAAACTAAAAGCTAGACCATCTGGTGGCCTGTTTTCTCAAACAGTATTAGCATGCAATCGGAATTTCCTGGAGGCGAAGTCAATATTTTGTGATATAAAATTTTGTGTTCAGGATTTTTTTTTTTTTTTGATAGGAGAAAATGGTTAGATTGGATGTTAGTATTTGTTGCTATTAGGGTGGGTTAAACCTTGAAATTAAGTGCATTTCACCTGCTACTTAATGGATAACCAATAGACAACGTGACCACCACTGGACCACATGGGGGATTGCTATGTTCAGGTTTTAAAGACACAGCAGGCAAGTGTATGGTCTGTGCAGGAGACCAGAGAGAGTGGTGAATCTCTTCTTCATCCCACACGATTAGCCAACCATAGAACCAATCCCCTATGTTTTTGTTGAGCAGGTCATTAGTGGTATTTTTCTCAACGGGATCTTCACCTGGGGATATTGGGCATAAGGTCAAATTCTGATTATTATCGCCATGAATGAAGGCCAAGGAAGGAGACGGTGGCAGAAAACAAAGTTCCGATCATCCTCCATGGTACTGTGGCGCAGGAGAAGAAAGAAAGAAAGCAAATTAATTAAGGGTAATGTGATCCAGAGACTCAAAGTTGATCTGCAATATAAAGGGGAAGAGAGTGTATAATCCCAGTGGGAGTAATAGGGTGGGGTATACTTATTAAGGTAAAAGGCTAATAGTAGCCTTTGGCCTGGGTCCTGGGAGTAGGAAGGTGGGGTAGTAATCCCAGTGGGAGTAGGAGTGTAGGACTAGGATCTCAAAATCGAAATCAATTAGGGTAAGATAAATATTTCTGGTACCATGAATTTACGCCTGCAAGATACTTAGGTTGCTGTTATCTTCATTAATGTGGTTTAAATTAAGAGATAAAAAAAAATCAATATATGCGAATGACCTGTTTTGATCCAGTGACATTGGACCTTAGATTAGGACTGTTTACCTCTGTGGCATTGAACCATGAATTAAGGTTGTTTACTTCCGAGGGGTGACGTGTTCGAATATCATGGAACTCATTTCCCCCTCCCCCTATATACCTGTAAATAATGCTAAAATTGTTCCAAAAAAAAAATCAATATAGGCTGGCATTAAAATGACGAAGTTGATAAAAATGAGAGTCAATATCATATTTTACATATTTAATTACTATGATCGGATATTTCAAAATTTTTTATGCAAAACATCTTGATTTTTACTCTTTTCTTTCTTCTTAAATTAATTGTTAAAAATATTTAAATATATACTCTCAAGCAGATAAAAATGACAATTCTTTTGTCATATTTGGTTGTTAGTAATGGATATTCTTAATCAAACCATAAAATTAAGGTAAGATAAAAATATCTTTGAAATAAAGAATTGTCTTTGTAGTTAGCATCAAAAAATAAGTTCTTCTCAATACTTATTTTTGAAATTTTTTTTTTTTTTTTTCTCAAAAAAAAGAAAATTTTATTGCAAACTAGATTGCAAAAACTATTTTGGTATATATAAATTAATAAGAGCTTTCTCGTTCTTTCTAGTTTTTTATTCAAATGATAGAACAAAATTCAATTGGAGCAAATAAAGCAGAGTGAAATCAAAAGCAGCTTCTCAATGCCAATATCACATATTACACAGCAAAAACCGGTTTACACTCGTAGTTTCTTCCATAATAAGAGCTATATGCTTACAACAAACATCTACCACTAACAACATGGTGTAACCTACACATCTCTCTTCTTATTATTATGATCATCCTAATCAGGGTGATTCTGTAACTGGATCTGTACCCGAAACATGGGATGCTACATCCTCTTTGTTAACAGGTGCAGCTGGCCTTGTGCCAATGCTATCCCTCTTTCCCTCTTTAGTTGTGGACCTTGAACCATTCTGATGAGCATTCAACGACAACCGTCTGTTTGGGGTCCCATTTGCACCTCCATTTGCTCGAGGCCCTACCACCTTCTTCATACCGGCTGGTCGAGCAGGGCTTGCCTCTGTGTTTTGCTGCTCATGGAACTTCTTCTGATCCTGCCAGTCAAGGAGGAATAGAAATGAGTCAATCCAAATAAAATGCCAAAAGCTCATATCATCATTCTAAAGGCCATGTCCAATGAGTTGCAATCCATTCCTCAACTGTTGGTACTAAGAAATCACTAAAAAATTACCCTCAACCTCCGCTTCTCTTCTTCTCTTTCTTGCCTGAGCATGGCATATTCATCAAGCATGGCCAGAAGGGGTACACCATCATAAATAAATGATATCCCACGATCTTCTTCCCAAGCCCGAGTTTTTGCAACCAAGCCATCAACCATAGCTACAAGTACAATACAAGGTCAGAAAACCCAACCAACATATTGATCTACTGAACATTAGAAATCATATAGAGATGTACACACACATTTCATACATCAATGCATAGTATCAATCATGGATGTACACAAAAAACTGGGGTGGAGTTTTGTGGCTATGGATACCTGGAATTTTGCTGACCAGAATTCGGGCTTTCTCAGCTCGCTTAAGATTTAAGTGAGCACCTCGGCTCACACTATACCTGTTCTCATCCTGTTTGATCAAGGAAATATCAGTGAAATTGAATTCAATTACCAGTATCATATTTTCTGTCTTGTTTATAGCTTCCTATTTTCCTCTGGTCTAAAGGCATAAGGCATGAATCTTAAAAAATGCTAGCAAAGAACTAACTAGGCAACAAAGAATTATAAATACCCGATTATAGTCTTCAAGCCAACTCTCTTCTTCACAGGCTGACATCCATTTCTCAACCCTGTCCAAAATTTCTTTTCTGCTGAGTGCTTCTTCTTTTGCTTTTATTATCTGACTATCCATGTCTGCTAGTAACTCAGCAGGCTCAACATCCCCAGCATCAATCTGTGACATAATCTTTTCTTTAGCAGCCTCTGAATCTATCTCTATATGAGCACGGGCAAATATCTCCTCAAGCTCAGCTTGCTTTTTGAAAGCAATTTCTTTCATCCTGCTAGACTTTAGTTGGTCAAGCCTCTTGACTTCCACCTCCGCCTTGGAAACAGCAACGAAAATTGTAAGCAGTTGATGTAGCTAATCAAACTCCAGTCCAATGGATATGACAGAATTTAAATACCTGCTCAATTAGATCCAAAGCAAGAGCCCCAGGAACAGTCACTTCATCAACTGTTGCAGATATGTTACAGGTAACATGCTGAAATAGTCCTCTTTCTTCTTCTGAGGTATCCATCAGATTCCACAGATCAATTAGCTGAGTTGCTAATTCTTGAAGCTGAGGAGAGAGCAAACATGTCAAACAATCCATTTAGCTAGTTGAATTAGACAAAAAGGGTGAATATTCCAAGGGTATATAAAAAAATGGACTAAACTAAACCAACAAACAACTTCAGATGCCGTTACTCACTGGTAAAGGAACAACAGACCCAATACACCCCTTTTGGTGTAACATGAAAACACTCGAGCCAAGACGCACAAATAATGATAAAGAAAATGACAGAAATGCATATACATGCAATGAGTATGAAAACTAACAAATACCTTATGAAGCCTCCGTTTTTTATCTTCATTTAGAGCTAAGACTGTCTTGGCCAGCTTAGACAGTGTATCATTGCCAATGCTTTTTGACTGAACACCTGTAGAGTCATTCAAGCTTGGATGAACTTCAGTTACAGTGCTGAAGAAATCCATCCCAAGGACAGCACAGAGATCATGCACAGTGCTCACAAATTCAAGAACTTTGTGCAGTCGGTCACTCTGCCAGTTCAATAAGCAATTAGTAGCTAGCCTCAAATCATGTAAAGACCAGATACTCAGATATTTTATCAAATGAACATCAACTTTGTTCAAGACAATGAATTTTACCTTCTCCTTTTGAAGCTCTTGGAGTTTGGATTGATATTCATCTAACTTCTTCAGTGACAAGTCAGACTCATCAACTGCAGGAGCCACCACCTGCTCACCAAAGTTGCCAGTAATTTCCCCACAAATCTTCTGAATCTGTGACTGCACATCAGAAAACTCCTTCACTCTCTCTTCTTTCTGTTTCCACAGCTGTTCAAGTATTGGTGCTATAGCTGCAAGTTGTTCCTTGATTGTTCCTGAAGTCTTCTCTGGCTGTAATCAAATCCAAAGGAATATATGATGAATCCAACAGATTAGATCCATGATTAAATAAACAAAATTGCAATAAAAAATTAGAGCCACCATGTATATTATGTGAAGTTAAGGAGTTACTCACAAGGCCAACAAAACTCAAGTCCCCAAGAGCTGATTCAAGAGTGGAAAGTTCAAGCTTGGCATCTGACAAGGCCTCAAGAAGTTGTGCCCTTGACTTTGCAGCTTGCTCAACCTTTCTCTTGTATACATCCAAGCACTCTTGCTCTATTTGAAGAAGCATCTTGTCTCGCTCCTCATCACTTTCACCAACTTCATCCCAAATTTCCTGTAAAAAAAAGTGTGGAATATTTTATTGGTTATATCCCTACATAATAATTAACCCAAACAATCTGGGGTAAAAAACAGTCTGAACTCTGAAGCAATTTACCTGCAGCTTCTGCAGTAAAGAACCACAAGTGGTTTCTCCAAGAAGAGGGTTATGTGCATCCGTCACTGCCATTTTTGCTAAGTCTCAAACTTGCCTGCATAAGGAGAGTAGTATGCACATGACGTTAACAACATGATAAAACAATAACATGAACACTTTGACAGTATTTGGTTACAAAAGATGGCAAACCAATTTATAACAGAAGCTTTAAAATTATGGTCATTAAGGAATATGACAAAGAATCGATCAGCCAAATTACTTTCAAGATAAGCAATTATAAAGGTATTGAATAACTGAATTATGAATCTTGAAAGGTTAGATAGCACAAAAATAGGGGGCTTATTCAAATATAGCTTCCCAACCTCTAGAAACCAAAATAACACAAGACAAATTCATCAAAATCATTATTTCTTCTCTTTCCCCAAATTTCTAAGCCCCCAACAGGATACTGGATCATGTTACTAAAATCAGCAAGTTGGACTCCTAGTTTAACTAGGTGATCTCATCCATAGCAACTACACAAAACCGCACTTCATTTCACATGAAAATCCGATTACTATGGCAATTCATCATGCCAATCTCAAAATATACAACTCCCCAGCGGAATAGTTGGCATCAAGATCAAGCTAAATTACTTTCACTTGACACATAGAAAGCTCAATATCTATTACTTTAACATTTTCTCATCAACCAAACCAAACCTCCTCAGGCAATTCAATTATAACACCATCCACATCAAGAAATAATAAAAAAGTTTCGTCCAACAACAAGAACCCCGCTTCTCAAATTCACTTCACATTCTTGCAAGCAGTAAGCCACTAAGCACCCAAGAATGAAGAAACTCAAAATCCTCAGCTCCCCATCAATGCACCGACATTCCCACCGACATTCCCATGATCAACAACAAGAACAACTTCAGATCTCCCCTTTCCTACCTAAACCCATCTCCAATCCAATAACCAAACATACTTTACAACAAGATCAAGCAAAATAACTTGAAAAAGGAAAAAAAAACTACACATTAACGAATCAAGAAAAACAATAACCCAAGCAAGAAACAGGCAGAAGAAGATGAAAAGCTATAAATGTAGCATGGAAAACAGAAAAAGACAGAAGCTTGAATACCCAGATCGTCCCCTGAGTGGAGCGTTTTGGTGGGTTTCTGGATTTTTCTCAGATCTAAAGCTTGATTTTTGGGTTCTTCAGTGAGAGAGTGTGAGTGAGAGAAGGAAATGAAAGAGGGAGAAACAGACAGAGACAGAGAGAAGAGAAAGTGGACGGTGGGGCCATTTATTACTTATATTTATTATTTTAAACTAATTGTCCTTAGTTACAATTTGATAATTGCCCCTAATTCTTCTGTTATTTACGAAGATAACACTTCCATTTTGTACAGTACTGAATTTTCGAGAAAAGTTGCAGATACAGATAATATTCTAAGTTTTTAACTTTATCATTTTTTTATTTAAAAATATAAAATTTTTGGGTTTTTTTATATTTTTTAAATAATTATATAAATTTTACATATTTTTAAATAAAAATATGAATTTTATTTTATTTAATTTTAAGAATGACAATAATGATATGATAAATGATAATTTTAATTGAAATAAAGTAAAACTCTTATTTTTATTGAGGAGAAACAAAAATTTGTATTTTTATGTAAAAAAATAAAAATTTACAATTTAAAAACCTAAAAAATCATATTTTTTTAATAAAAATAAAATTTATATTATTATCTAAATCTTTTCTCCTAAACTTTCTTCTTCCAATTATTCATATGGAGTTTGTAATTCTTATTAACATTGAATTATACAAATTAAATTGTTGAAAGTAGAGTTTGTGTTCTATTTAATAGTTTTAATTTTGTAATTTAATTCAATTTGTATTGAGAACCACAAATTCTATGAATATTAACCTAACAAGAATTTTTTATTTTGTGCTCAAGTATCTATCATTAATTACAATATTTATAATTAATTTTACATATTTTTTACACTATATTCAAATTTTACATTTTATATTTTATTGTAATTAAATTTAGTATGAAAGTTTATATAAAATTAATTATAAATATTGTAATTAATAAAACTTAAGAACACATGTTAAACAAAGTAACAAACCCATCATACAAATATATTTGATGAAAGTGTGGTATTCCAGCAGCAAAATTAATGAAAGCCTAAACCTGAAATGCATAAAAGTTTCGAGCTTTGATTTTTGTTTTTTTGTTTTAGAACATGGGAAATCATGTAGGAAAAAAGAAATTTTTAAATAATTAATAGAAGTTGAATTCTTAATTAATTATATCTAAGTATTAAGATTTAAGGATGAATAAATAGTCTCAAATGTCTAAGTTCTTCGAGCTTTGATCTTTAATTGCTTCCAAGGCAAAGAATGTTATGTAAAAGATATTTCCCAAAATCACATGTGACAATCAAAGACAATAATAGATGGCAGGGGCATTGTCCCTATGGCAGTTTGGTAGTTAAGTAGGGGAAGAAAGACCAAAGGCAAACGTGATGTTGCATAAGGGTTATAGCTGTACCGCTCTACGCAATGATGAAGGAGAGATTTGGAGAGGCAAATGTGGGGCCAAAGCTAGGTGTGACAGCATACTTCAAGAATATTCAACCAATGTCTCTATATATAGTGTCTTACTATTGCATCATACCATGCAAAAGGTCTCGATATTAAATTAAATAAACACTTGAACAAGTTAGTTTTAGAGCTTTGATGTCATAATTATAGCCAACAGAAAGCTCCTCCAATTTATTGCATTCATTTGTGTTACATTTTTATCATTTAGTAAAAAGATGGTAATTATTTGAAGATAAAAGTAGTTTGCATGTGTTACTTGCGATTGAAAATTGTAGAAAAGAAAAAGAAAAAATCAAACCCAATAAATTAAGTGAATAAGGCTGCCTCTCTCCATTTTCTTTTATCATCACTATTGAAATGGGTATTAAGAGGATT